ATATATATATATATATCTATATATATATATATTCCAATATATTCCAATTTGATGATTATAATGATAATGATGATGCTTGTGCCCTAATGATGAAATATTAATTTGTTAAAGATGAAGATGGCTTTCTTCTATTGGCTGAAATTAATCCAAGTCAACTTGATGATCTGAGAGTCAAACATGATTTACTTTACAGTCACAACTAAAACAAACAGTTTGTATGGTAAAAAAATTAATACAATAAGTAACTGTAAGATGAAATATTTAAACTTGAGTTATGTAACTATAGAGGATTATAAAAAAAGGAAATTATAAAAAAAATGTTCAGTGCTTACGAAATTTTATATTTTCTCAAAGAATAAATGTAGTCAATTAGTATATTTTAAATATCTATTAATTTGAGATTAATTAGAAGGTATATTGGCAATGTGACTTGCAAAATCCAACGGAGGCTTACCATCTGGCTTTCTAGTTTCAGATTCGTTTGGATTCTTATAGTTTTCCGGGAGCGGATGAGGACCTGGATGAGTCAGATCTAATGTTTTTTCTTGAACTACCTTGAAAGAAGCTTTAATGTTGTCCAATGCATTTCCTAAACCTGTTTTAATCTGATTGAATTCCTGCGTTACCAAAGATAGGCGACCAAGCAAATAATTCAAATTTTCATCTACTTCTGTCATGCGTTTCGTTATCTCGCCCACCTATAAAATTACAAATATTTATTTGATTAATTTCGATATATATTCGGTATATTTTGTCGATAACAATATGTGGAAAATATTTAGATAATTGAATTCCGAATAATATAGATTATATAATTAATATTATAATATTGCAATAGTATGAATAATATATATATTTAATTTTCATTCCAAGTGATGTATTATTATATGGAACACTTTGCATTAATTCCAATTATTTTAATTTAAATAATTTAATTTGTCTATTACACATTACCTTATTCTCCATTCCACCCATAGTAAATGTTGTATTATTAACATAAGCTTCATTTTGTTGATGCAACTTATCTAGAGCTCGAGCACTTTCCGTCATCTGCTGATACATCACATTAATCTGCCGCCAGACCTGTAATGAAAACAGCGATAAAAGAAATAGCCACTAGATCCAGCACCAATCAGCAAATAACAGATCATTTACTTTATTCATTTCCTGTTCCATCTTGTCAGTAAGATTTGCTAAAGCACCATTCTGGTTATCCATAATGTCATTTGAAATTCCATCGAATCTTTGATTAAGAGTACTGTTAATATTAACGCTTTGGGTCTTCACAAGGTCGCCCACTTCCAATAGGATCTGATGTACGCCATACTCTACCCTTTTTTCGTGTCCAGTACATGATCGGCCATAGAAACCATAACTGATTGACCTTTCTCCAGATTTTGCAATTCCTGATTAACACGTTCTGCATTATTGGCCAAGTCCATCCTATTAAAAAAAACGTAAGAATTAAAACACGAAATAAATAAATAAATAAATAAATAAATAAATAAATATATATATATAGGATATTCTATTTTTAATTGCCTAGATTTTTAAATATCTTGTAAACGATGCATCATTATGAAAAATGTTTCAAACAAATTTATTTAGTATTGAGAAAAAATATATAATCAAAAATTATTATTTCTTTGATAGATGCGTTTACATTAACATTCTTTTGATTTTCTTCCAGGAAAAAATGAGAATCCATATTTTTTATAACATATTACTGACGTTGAGACGTTTTAAAATACTGGTTATAAATCCTTTCTCGAGAAAACTTCTGAATTATCAATCTTCAAATATTATCAGCATTTGTATTATTCAAGATGTATAAAATTTTAAAGGCAAATGAAATCATAAAAATTTCAATTTGCTTAAAATAAAAATGGACTATGAATACCAGCCGTAGAAAGTTTGAAAATTTTACATTTAAAAAACGGTTGCGATAGTCTGTAATTATTATTATATCTAGCGATAATCTTATAATTATTGTATTTAGTGACAGCATAGAGTTTACTCGGTTTCTACTATTATTAATCTATTATCAAACTGCACTATGCAGATGTTGCTTAAATTCGTCAATCTATCGTTATGTTATGTCAGTAGACTCTATCCAGTTTTTGCCGCCGAACCTACTAACATGACATGTCGACAAGCTTTATCATACTTCTGGCGCCTGCTTATTAATACATTAACACTACTATTACTATTATTACTACACACGCGCGCGCGCGCGCTCACACACACACACACATACCACACACACACACACACACACACACACACACACACACACACAATAAGTATTTAGATTATACCATGAAGGAACAATACTATTACTCATTTACGTTACGAAAGATAATTAAGATAATTAAGGATAATTAAGATTTACCGTAAGCCGCTATCGAGTCTTTTGTTTTCTTCCTTAGTTTCCGCTATTCTATCATCGATATTATCAATACTTTGTGTTATGATATCTTTCAACGCATGTTTAGTTTCCTGCAGCATAACTTGAGTTTCATTATGGAGCGTCTGCACTTCGTTTATTCTATATAAGAGATAACAATTAGTTTTGAAACGTTAAGGATAAAGTGTCGTTCTCATAAATTTGAAAAAAAGTTCAAAATTGATATCAACAGTTAAGTTCAAAATATATTACCTGGGTAATTCACGTAATATGTCAGAAGTGTTTTCTAGCATTTCTTGCACTTGTACTAATGTTCTAACATGATCATCGAAGACTGGAGACAAATCCAATTGTCGTTCTGACGGTCTCTCCTGAACATTCTGCGTTATTTGTTTTATTTTTTCCAGAGATTTCTCAAGCTCTTCAATTCTGGCGGCTACACGCTGTATCTATAATCAAAAATAAATTTATATGATTTAATATACTTAGTGCACATGAGAAGAATATGTATTAAAATAACAATGAGTTACCTCAGAGAAAATTGAATGTGTCTTCTCCATTAGCGCAACGGATTCTCTATCTACCTTTACTATATTATTATCCAGATTTTCTTTGAACTTTGCAACTTCTACTATTAAGTTATTTTCTATTTCATTTAGTTTGTTAAGAACATCAGGAAGATTACTGTCTGGTGCAGGTGTAACCTTATAGTTGTTTATTTCTGTTACCTTGTTTTCGATATTAGTGAACCAACTCTCTAAGCGAGTCTCCAGATCTTCTAGACTGTCAACAGTCTTTTGCATCTGTATCCTCTCTCTCTCATCCTTCTGCGCAAAAAAAAAACACATTGTCAGCGCTAAGAACCAATTATACTTTATGATGGAATGGAAATGGAATGAGAATAATTACTTGTGCAATTAGATGCTCTATTCCTGAGATCCTCTCATCCAATTTTGTTAACTGCAATTTCAGGCCGTCCACAACGGACACACGTTTCGTCAGGATGGTTATTGTCTTTTTCAATTGCTCGCCCAGTTGTCGTTCTCTAGCTTCGTGTCTTTCCAATTTTTCCGTATTTTCTCGCATCATGTGTACTAAGCTTAACATAGCATCTTTAATATCTTCATGACTGTAAGAAGTAATATAATCATTCACAGAATAGAAGATAAGACATTGATATATAATATTACTGAAAATTAGGTTTTGTTTAAAAACAAGAATATATATTTAAATATATTTAAACTATTAAGTTATATATCGATCAGATACATACGTTATTTCCCTGCTGTAGTTAACATCGACGCAAAAGCAATACAAAAGCGTTAAAAGAATAGGCAGTCTCATCATCTTATTAATGTTGTCCAGAGAATTGTTAGTCTGGATTTCACAATATTATTTTGCTCGGCAGTTGATCCAAGAAGTTCCTTTGATGTGCTATTTGATGTTGATTGATTAAAATTTGATCAAAAAACTAAGAGAAATCAATGAAACTATTAATTGTAATGATGACGAACAAAAATACCACTATTTCTCTAGGCTACAAAGCGTTCCTCCTTCGCCTAATTGAATGCATTCGAGATAAGAAAGAGGCAGGTCATCCACAATGACCTCAAGAAACTATAGAGAGAAATCATCACTCATAATAAATTATTCTTAATCGTTAGTGGCATAGATCACAGTTCTATATTCTATATTTTATCTACCAAATATACATATATAAAAAGATTATTCAATATTTTACCTTAATTCAATTTATTTACTTAATTAATATATTAATTGCGAAAAACAATATTAATTTTTGTATATATAATCATTATATTTTATATTGATTACATATTACTTTTTAACTTTAAATAATATGTAAAATATCTCCAAATTCGAGAATAATAAGATTGAATCACAAAAATTCATGAAACATTAAGTAATAAAGTACATACTATTTTTTCCTATAAAAGTTTTTTAAACATAAAGGTTTTTTAATATAAAGCTCTCAGTCAATAAAAAATATTTTTTTAAATGTTGCTTTAATATTTGTTTTTTATTAACTATACATTGTACAATTCATGGTAGAAATAATAATTGTTCAATGTTTATTAATTAATATTTATTTTGTATTAATAATTTACTCGAAATAATAACTTAAGGAAAGTATTTATATAAGATTTATTAAATATTTATATAATATTAATTTGATGAAGAGATGAATATTTATTTGAAATTGACATTCGTAAAAATAATTTCTAAAAACCTTTATTTGACACTTTATTTATAACATTAATTCAATATTTATTTTACGTTAACTATTCATTTAAAATAATACCTTAAAAAACATTTATTTAACATTTTTATTTTTTTTGTACGGTTATTTTATGACTTCTGTACGGCATTACTAATACTTTGAATATTAATTCGCATTTAAAAACAACTGAGTTACGTAAATTTTAAATAGTGAAACATATATAACTGTAAATTTGATCCTTTCACTGTAATTAAAATGTAAATTAAATGCTACTAGTATCAAAATAAGTATTTGTTAGAAAAATTAAATTATTATTTTCTTTCGATTTCTTTAATAGAGATGTTTTTCAAATATTTATTTATAAAAAATGTTTTAAATTAACTTTTTAATTAATATTTAAAAAAAACTTTAAAACAATTCTCTTCATAAGTTTTAGAACGTTTGAACGTTTTTTCTAAGCGTTAAAAAAAATATCTTCTTAAATATTAAAACATTTATCAAATATTGAAAAAATATTATTTAACAATTTTTTTTAAATATTTACGACAAAAATTGGATGTGTACACTAAGAAAAAAATGCTGTTGAATCAGCAGCATAGTGGATTATTTCCAATAATTGGAAATAATTTTGTTAATTCAATGACATTATTAATGAAACAATATATCATCATGCTCTTGTTTTAATAATCAAGATCTTCGTTTCATTAATAATGTCATTGAATCAACAAAATGATTTTCAATTAGACTAATGCTGTTGATTCAAAAAGCATTTTTTTCTCAGTGTATAAACAGGCCTGAGCGCGAAATAAAAGATGTGAGGGCAATAAAATTAAAACTTTAAAGAAAGCGAAACTAGTTTCCACCTTATTTGATCTTCGTCAATCGCAATTAGTCAAATTAATACTGAATTTGAGAGGCTGTTATCAATTACATGATGTCGCAAAGTCCAATATAATTAACATGTCCAACATAATAAAATGTTAATCATATAAAACTGAGCTCACGACTCTGTAAAATATATTGGTCGACACGCATAGTTGTCCATGTAACGATCGTCCATCTCACAGCGCATATAAATAAAAATGTGAGAATCTCAAGGAATATGTCATGTGTGTTATGTGTTACAATATAAGCCAAGGAGCATTGTGCAATGCTCATTGCTAAGTTAAATAAATCAAATCCAGGTTGCCATTATTTTATAATTATAAAGTGTTGTAATGTCAACGTAATGGCCAGCAAAGCCGGCTATAGTTTTTTTAGATATTTAATAATTTCTTTTTAATTTTTTTGTATTTATACACATGTGCGCGTGCGTGCGTACGTGCGTACGTGCGTGCGTATTGGGACTTTGAATTTATATATCAATTTTCTAAAAGAAAAAAAAAAAAAAAAAAAATTGTCGAGTTATAACGCACCTTTCAGAGACTTTCTTCTGTAGATGAAAATGATGAAGGGATGAAATGCATGTCGCTATTTATAGACACACAGATATGCATTCCTTCAAGGAGCCATATGGTATATTATAGCCACCAAGCCATGTGTTTCAAGTGCAACACATTTATTTTGCTCTTTATATAAGTGCACCAGCAGATGTCAAACAAATCAGTTAGTTTTTAGTATACTATTTTTATTACGATTTTATTAACAAATGAAATTTAATAATAGAAATAAAAAGCTGAAAATTTAAATTTTTCCTTTACGTGGAAATAATATTTTTCACAATAAGAATTTCTTACAGGGGAAAAGAGATTAATCGATATCATATTTGATTATAGATTTACTAAAGGGAAAAATTTAGCTCTAGCTTTGAATTTCCATGTTGCAAGTCTATTTAAAATAATGGCAAACGATGGCATAAGTATTATCTTCAATTCATACATAAACTCAAAAAAAAAAAAGATTAAAAATTAAATGCCTAAAATCTTGCTGAGATGCTGAGAAAATTAAAATTTTCTATTAAAACAATAGACTACTGAAAAAATTTACTAACAATAAAGGTTATCAAAAATTTTAAAATAATACATAAAAAACAATTGTATAATTTTTTATCAACTCTATAATTATAATATTTATAATTATATTTATAAAATATATTCATTACA